TAGTATTTTCGAAATAAATAAGTTTACCAAATATCATACCTGTCCTTCAAAAAAATCTTTGTCCCAAGGAATGTCCACGTTCTTCCTGTCATCCTTCGTGCGCTATATATGAGAAAAATGAGATTCAGAGTCTATGTATGACTATTATTTTACTTAATGCCAAGAATAATTAACTACTGAATTAATTGGCTGGAGCATAGAAGATCCCTTGGATTATGGAATGATCTGGGACTTGCTAAAGTGGGACAAGTGCTGAAAAATTAGTTCCAGCACCTTAGATGGGTATTAGCCCACCTTATGGACTTCGTGGTTAGTGTAATCATATAGTCTCCTGGAAGCATTGCCTAATTGAATTGTATGGTACAAAGTTAGCTGTACCTTGCTGACTAAAAATGTATTAGTTATTGTCAAAATGTTCCACTAATGAGTTGAAAGGCATGGATGAATTCTTGTGATATACAAGAAATTTCTGGTTAGATGGTAATTGAGTATGCAATGTCTATTGCATTGGGATCCTTAAGCTCTGCTTAAAGAAAAGTACAGTACGTACTATTTGTGATTGAAACTTATGAACTAAATGACATGAGCTTATTGTTATTTGAAGTTGACATGCTCAAGGATACTGGAGAATCCTAGAAGCTACATGCTATTGGATATCTAATTTGTAAGTGCTAGACAGATGATGTACCTTTTGCCAATAGCCGGGTAAAGAATATTCCTAAAGTTATCTGGTACATTATTGTATATGTGTGTTGCACTTCTGTCTTTAACAGAATTACAATGCTCAGAATTATTCACAGTGAGCAAATGTTAGCTTATGTAAAGGTGTTCCTTTCTTATGTCTATATAAAGAAAAGACAAGTGGCAGAAAAGTTATTACTTCTGCCCAAGCTTCTGTAGATATTAGAACGAAAGTAATGCAGGAATTCATTCCAGGTTTGAACACCACCATCTAAGGATATCTGCATATTGAAACAGGAAGCACAAATGGTTCCTTATAAGGATTTCTATCTACCTATCTATCTTGGAATTATAAATTCTGATCTTTGCTGTTAATGTTGCATTAAGCCTATAATGCATTTGATTTTAATTAAATGACTTTGGATTGTCTCTATCATGAGAAAATTCAGTTATAACTGCCTTTTGTAAGCTACTTTCTCATAACTTAAAATATTTGTGGATTTTCATCATTGATTCTCGATTTTCTTACTTGTTCTCCAAAGATTTTACCAAGAATTATTTGCACAAGTCATAAGTTCTCTCATGCAGAGAAGCTGTAAAACTCCAAGAATGGGCATACCTGAATTTTTCGTCAGATTTCTTTTGAACTTAAATATTTTAATCAAAATGTTTTATGTGGTTTAAGGTGTGATGTATTCAATGAAGGAAGTTTCTAATTGAATCTATATCAGTTTCTAAACTTTGTGAAATACCTTAGTTTGAAAAACTTTTAATGTTGAAAGCTTTCACCGTGTTGTTTTAAAGTGAATGCATGTCATTGTAAAGAACTCGAAGCTATCCTATCATGAACTTAATTGGTAATAGCTGTGGGCACAGCTTGTAGGCAGGTCTTAACTTCCTAAACTATTTATTAGCTATCTTTTGTTGCAACTACAAAACACAAGCAGCTAATTAGTCTTATTCTATCATACGTATAGAATGTGTTAAAGTAAGTTGCATGTATTTTAGGAAGTACGGTAGATTATTGGGAGTCTGCAGTCCAGGAAGAGTAATGACCTGTGAAGGAGGAATAGGTTAGCAATGAGATTTTAGTTAAAGGATATCAGGTTAAGACCAGAGCTCTGGCAAATGTTGTTCTGTATATCTTTAGCTGAGAGTGAAGCGAAAAGAAGCAATGAAGAAATTTGAGTGTGAGCACCTCATTTGAGGAAGTAATAGGAAAGTTAGTTTTGCGTGAAGGTGTGGTGGGAACTTGAAGGACTGAAGTTCAATTTCAAATAAGATTGAGATTTGGAGAACCAAATCTTTTAAGGTGGGAAGATTGAAACATCCCGTCCTTAT